CCTGTTCGTGCTGCTCGCACTAGTGGTTGTGCTCCGCGTCCGCGTCCTCCTACGGTCCCAAGCACACACCAGATGGCACTGCGTCCTTCCACTGCTCCTCTGCGTGTCCCGTTGCTGTCTCCTCCAGAGTCCTCTCCTCCTGTTCTTGCTGACCCGGAGTCTGACTCTCTTCGTGCTCCCAGTCCTACTGTCACGCGTCTCCTGGCTACTGTTGTCACTGACCATTCCTTTGAGTCCACTGCTGCGTCTGCCTTAGTTGCTGAGCTTGTCGACTTTGCTGCTCGCTGTCGTCTAGACTACGCCGCTAGTCTCGTTGCTGAGTCTGAGTCTCTCTGTCCTCCGTCCGTCGGGGGTGAGTGTGCTCTTAGCACGGACGTCCTTGAGGACAGGCAGGAGGAGTTCCAGTGTTTTGCTGCTGCTTTGCCTCATCTCGTGTCCACGCTGATTGCCCCTGAGGGAGACCCGGATGCGCCGCCCAACTGGCTTCATTGGGTCGTTTCCCCCTGGTACCCAAAGGAGCCTCCGGCGGCCAGTCTACGGTCTCCGCCAGGCGCCCCGTGAGTGGCACGACACACTGAGGACTACACTTGCGGCTCTTGGGTTTGCTCCTTCTACTGCCGACCCATCGCTGTTTCTGCGCACCGACACCTCTTTGCCGCCGTTCTACATCCTCGTGTACGTCGACGACTTGGTCTTTGCCACAGCTGACACTGCTGGACTCGCCCACGTGAAGTCCGAGCTGCAGAAGAGACACACGTGCACAGACCTGGGTGAACTGCGCAACTACCTTGGCTTGCAGATCACCCGCGTCAGAGCACAGCGCACCATTACCCTAACTCACTCACACATGGTGGAGCAGGTCCTTCAGCGCTTCGACTTCACGTACTCCTCGCCTCAGGCCACTCCTCTGTCTACTCGTCACTCGCTCTCAGCTCTACCTTCGGATGAGTCCGTAGAGCCGAGTGGCCCGTACCCAGAGCTTGTTGGCTGCCTCATGTACCTGATGACCTGCACACGACCTGACCTTGCATACCCTCTTAGCATCTTGGCACGCTATGTTGCTCCTGTTAGACATCGACGTGAGCACATGGCTGCAGCGAAGAGGGTGTTGCGCTACTTGTGCAGTACGTTGGGCATGGGGCTAGTGCTTGGAGGGCGACGTCGAGTGGTCCTCACAGGTCACGCAGACGCTTCTTGGGCTGACGACCAGGCTACGCAGCGGTCGTCACAAGGTTGCACCTTTAGCCTTGGTTCCGGCTCTGTTTCGTGGCGGTCTACCCGCTCTTCTTCTGTTCTCGGCTCCAGCTGTGAGGCTGAGATCTACGCAGGGGCCATGGCTGCACAGGAGCTACGCTGGCTCACCTACCTGCTGACTGACCTAGGAGCGCCGCCTTGTTCTCCTCCATTTTTGTACGTAGACAACAAGGCCATGCTGGCCTTGTGTCGAGAGCACAGACTGGAGCACAGAACGAAGCACATTGCTCTTCGCTACTTCCTTGCTCGTGAGCTGCAGCAGCGTGGTCAGCTGCGCCTTGCTTACGTGGTCTCTGAGGCCAACACTGCTGATATCTTTACCAAGGCACTTCCGCCTTGTGATCATCAGTGCTTCTGTACGATGCTAGGTCTTGTGCCTACTTGGCCTCACTTGCTCACTTCTTGACCTTGCTTGTACTGTGATCTTTCTATACCTGCACTTGCTTGTTTACCTTTATATATGATTTTGCATGTGAACTGGCCTTGTGGCCTTGCACTTGTGCTCGGACTGTGTGGTGACGTTGTGATCCACCCTAAGCTTGCTTTGCTTTGCTTGACTGGTCTTGTGACCCCTTGTTCTCCCCCACTTTGCCTATGGGGGTGTGTCAAACTCATATGCTATAGTCTGTGTAGGCTGTAGTGGGGTAGACAATATGGGGTACAACACTTTTAGGTTTTCCTACTTATACCCACCTGCTTCCTAGTTCATTCATTCCTCATTTCTTCACACCCCCTTCGCTTCTGGAGTGTCGTTGCTGGCGACGTGGCCTTGTCCAATGAGCAGCATGCAGTTCTCGAACTTCTGCTTTCCAAGTTTCTTGGTGAAGTAATCAGCTGCCATCTCAGACGTGGGGCAATAAGACAGCTCGAGTCTCCCCTTCTCGATCTCGTCCTTCACGAAGAAATATCGCAGGGCGATGTGCTTTGTCCTGTTTGGGAATCCGTTTTTGTTCGCGATGCGAATTGCAGACTTGTTGTCGTTGAACAGAGAGAACCCGGGTAACTGGGCCAGTTTCGCCTCTTCGAGCAGTTCGCGAAGGTAAAGTCCTTCCTTGTGGCTGAGCAGAGTGCAATATATTCTGCTTCAGCTGAGGAGAGAGCAATAAGTTCCTGCTTGCTCGACTCCAATGAGATGGGCCTGATAGGCTCGAGACGGTAGATATAGCCGGTGCGCGAGCGCCTGCTGTCAGAGTCGCCGGTGTGATCTGCGTCGACGTAGCCGATTAGCTTCGGCGCCATAGTTCCGGTCTTGTAGTAAGTAAGTCCGATCGTCGGGGTGCTGACGAGGTAGTGTAGTGCGCAGTCGAGCTCTGCCATGTGCTCTGCTTCAGGTTTCTTGAGGTAGGTAGCGAGTTGGCTTGCGGAGTACTAGAGATCCGGTCGGCAGGTGACGGCTGCGAAGAGCAGACATCCTAGCTTTCCTTGGTAGTCGCGTATGCCAGCGGGCTTGAGCGGGCTTGAGTAGAGCGGAGGTTTCCTTGTGACTTCCGGCAGTGTAGCGATATGTGTGAGAATAAGAACGAGGAATGAATGAACTAGCAAGCAGGTGGGTAAAAGTATGAAAACCTAAAAGAGTTGTACCCCATATTTTCTACCCCACTGCAGCCTACAATATAGTTCTGACACACCCCCATAGGCAAAGTGGGGGACAAGCAAGAGAACAAGGCAAGGTCAAGCTCAGGGTGGATCACAACGTCACCACACAATCTGAGCACTAGTTCAAGGCCACAAGGCCAGTTCACATGCACGATTATAAAGCAAGGTGAACAAGCAAGACTGTGATCTCAACCTAGCAAGGGTAAGCATGCAGATGGAGGTATATATAGATCACAGTACAAACAAAGTCAAGAGGTAAGCAAGTGAGGCCCGGTAGGCACAAGACATAGCATAGAACAGAAACGCCACTGATCACAAGGCTGAAGTGCCTTGGTAAAGATATCAGCAGTGTTGGCCCAAGAGGCCACGTAAGCAAAACGAAGCTGACCACGCTGCTGCAACTCTCGAGGAAGGAAGTAGCGAAGAGCAATGTGCTTCATTCTATGCTCCAGTCTATGCTCCTGACACAAGGCCAGCATGACCTTGTTGTCGACTTACAGGATTGGAGGAGAACGAGGCGCCTCTCCCAAGTCGGTCAGCAGGTAGTTGAGCCAGCATAACTCCTGTGCAGCCATGGCCCCAGCGTAGATCTCAGCCTCACAACTGGAGCCGAGAACAGAAGATGAGCGGATAGACCGCCATGAAACAGAGCCGGAACCAAGGTTGAAGATGTAACCCTGTGACGACCGCTGCGTAGCCAAGTCGTCAACCCAAGAAGCGTCTGCTTGACCAGTGAGGACAACTCGAGCCCGTCCTCCAAGCACGAGCCCCATGCCCGACGTACTGCATAGGTAGCGCAACACCCTCTTAGCTGCAGCCGTGTGCTCAGGTCGGTGTCTCCCAAGAGCAACATAGCGTGCCAAGATGCTAAGACGGTATGCCAGGTCAAGTCGAGTGCATGTCATCAAGTACATGTGGCAGCCAACAAGCTCTGGGTATGGGCCATTCGGCTCTACGGACTCATCCGAAGGCAGAGCTGAGAGCGAGTGGCCAGTAGACAGAGGAGTGGCCTGAGGCGAGGAGTGCGTGAAGTTGAAGCGCTGAAGGACCTGCTGCACCATGTGTGACTGAGTCAAGGTAATGGTGCGCCGTGCTCTGTCCCGGGTGATATGCAAGCCAAGATAGCTGCGCAGTTCACCCATATCTGTGCACGTGTGTCTCTTCTGCAGCTCCGACTTCACGTGGGCGAGTCCAGCAGTGTCAGCAGTGGCAAAGACCAAGTCGTCGATGTATACCTGGATGTAGAACGGTGGCAGCAAAGTGTCGGTGCGCAGAAACAACGATGGGTCAGCAGTAGAAGGAGCAAACCCCAGAGCCGCAAGCGTAGTCCTCAGTGTGTCGTGCCACTCACGGGGCGCCTGGCGGAGGCCATAGACTGGCCGCCGGAACCTCCACTGGGTACCAGGAGGAAACGACCTAGTGAAGCCAGGTGGGCGGCGCAGCCAGATCTCCTCGTGCAGGCTGCCTTGTAGAAAAGCAGTGCTGAAGTCAAGAGAGTGAAGCTCGTAGTCGCGCTGAGCAGCGACGTGCAGCAGAACCCGAAGAGTGGTCATCTTCGGGGTCGGGGAGAAGGTTTGGAAGAAGTCAACTCCCTGCCGCTGACCAGGGTTTATCTGGTGAGCAGATATTTGAAGTGACTCCTCTGCTCAAGAGCTCTCCGACGAACCAAGTATCGCTTCAATCGGAGCACGAACAAGAAAGTTACAAACGTTGGAGTTCGTATGTTTGTAACTTTCTTGTTCGTGCTCCGATTGAAGCGATACTTGGTTCGTCGGAGAGCTCTTGAGCAGAGGAGTCACTTCAGATATCTGCTCAAGCCAAATAACATTTGCACACACTCAGAAAATTCAAACCACACAAAACACAAATTCTTGCACACGCTCACACCACGCATGCAACGCACGAACATATGATGGGAGGCAGACAGACGTGAATGCATATGATTGCATCACATAACACTCCAGACCTCCCACGCCCAGCGTACCTCTCACAAAGCTGCTGGGGCGACAGGGCCTCACGAGAACGCTACTGCTGCTGGCGCTAGCCACCGCCAAAGCCTCCCCGCTGCACAGCGCCACCCCGACCAGCACCACCGCCGCCTCCACCCCCACTGCCGCCGCCGCCGCCGCCTCCACCTCCACCACCGCCACCTAAGCCCCCACTCCCGCCGCCACCCCCACCTCCACCCCCACCCCCTCCACCTCCTCCACCGCCACCACCACCGCCACCACCGCCGCCCCTGCCGTCCCCTCCACCACCCTTGCCCCCCTTGCCCTTGCCGCTGCGGCGTCTCCCACTAGGAGTAGACGCAGCGCCGACCGACTCAGTGCCATGCCAACAAGGTCGACAGCAGCAGTAGAGGCAACAGAGGGAAAGAGGGGGATAGGAGAGCACCCCTCAAAGAAAGGGGCATGAGGGTCACCACGAGAGGCTCCTACAGTGACTATACTCTTCTCAGCTGCAAGGAGGCGCTCTTCGAGGAGGTCAATAGTGAGCGTGGTGGGGCAAAGGGAGAGGAAGTAGTCCTTGACTGGACGAAGGGAGTCAGGGAGTTGGGTGACGAGGTAGTAGAGGGTGATGTACATAGGGGGGTGGTTCTTGGCGCAGAACTCAGCAGGAAGCGCAGCGCGGTAGTGGGTGTCACTGGTGCGGAGGTGGGTAATGAGGTCAGGGACTATGGCAAAAGCGGCGAGGACAGGGAACAGGTAGAGCAGCATGAGGCGGCTGAGAGCAGCAGTGGCAGGGGAGGAGTAGCACGCAACAATAGCGTCATACAGAGTCTTAGCAGTCTTGTACTGGCTAAAGTGCGTGCGCTCAGCAGACGGCAGGTGACTACGAACAGCAAGATGAGTAGCAGCATCACGCGTGGTCCACTGCGAGCGAACTGCACCGTCAGCATCGGCAGCAGGTGCAACAGAGACGCCGGACCTTTGATCGAACAGTGAGACTACGTCCCTAGAGTCGCACTGCAGAAAAAGCTGCAGATCATTGACCCAGACCTCGAAATCGACTTTTCGACCCTCAGCATCAAAGGTAAGTACATTAGGGTTAGCCATGGCGGCAGTAGCAGTAGCAGTAGCAGCAGCAGCAGCAGTAGCAGCGCGACTCGGCAGGGCGGTGCGGCTCGGCAGGGCGGCGCGGGTGCGGCGGTGCGCTTACTAGGGGCGGGATCGGGGTAGGGCCGCGGCTGGAAGGGCAGGGCTGTGGCGCGCTGGCAGGGCAGGGGCCGCGACCAGGGCCCAAAATTGGTTTTTGGCCACCCTAGGAAATCAGGGTCCGAACCGGGCCTACCCTGACTGCTAGGGTAAAAAACAAAATTCCCAGACAAATTCAGGGTAGATGATCGTTTAGTCTGTTTGTGGCAGGGTAAAATCTTTGGTGCCCTGAAAAAACGTCTGATTAAGTTTGATAAACGGAGTATACATGCAGTTGTGTCTTAGCTGGTAAGTATGGTTACATCGAATGGTGAGGTCTTGGGATTGAATCCCCGTATCGGACAATAGATATTCAGCAGGTTTGCGGTTCTTGTGGTCCGATATAAGGGTGTTTTGCACGGCACCCTTTCTGTACAGGATGAATGCTTTGAAACACTGATTTTCGAAGGGTAAAATAAAACGTACACTTTTGAAGAAAGGGGAGTACGAAAAAAACACTTACAAAATCAGGGCAATCTCTGAAAAGCGGCCCATAGTAAGGGCAATCAGGGCATTTTACCCTTCAATTTTGGGCCCTGGCCGCGACAGACAGGGCCGCGACGAGGCGGCAGGGCAGGGCCGTGACGCGGCTGCAGGTCAGGGCCGCGTTAGGCAGGGCCGCGACGAGGCGGCAGTGCAGAGCGGCGACGGGGGCGCAAGGCAGGGCCGCAACGGCGGCGGCTGTAGGCAGGGCTGCAACAGCGGCGGTAGCCAGGGCCGCGACTGCGGCTGCAGGAAGGGCCGCGGCAGCGGCAGGCAGGGCCGCGACTGCGACAGGATAGGGCCGCGACGGCAGGTAGGAGGGCCGCGACTGCGGTAGGGTAGGGCCGTGAGGGCGGCAGGTAGGGCCGCGACGGCGGCCGGCAGGGCCGCGACGGCGGGAGGCAGGGCCGCGACGGCGGCTACAGGGCAGGGCCGCGACAGCGGCAGGGCAGGGCCGCGACGGCTTCAGGCAGGGCCGCGACGGCAAGGTAGGCTCACGGGGCGCAGGTGAGGCAGGCGCGAGGCGCGCGACAAGGTAGGCAGGGACAGGAGCGCGCTTCGGGCAGGGCAGGAAAAAAAAATTGAAGTGGTGGGCCCTAAAAAACGGTCCCACTAGGGAACCCCCTCTATACCATGTGAAAATAGAACGAGGCAATAAAAATGACTAGGAAGAAGGTGGGTACAAGTAGTAAACCTAAAAGTGTTGTACCCCATATTATCTACCCCACTACAGCCTACACAGACTATAGCATATAAGTTTGACATAATGGACTGGCAAGAAAACGGTACTAACTGCATCTTTACCGACATAAGAAATCCACTGGTATGTTTGGTCGGTATGCGCGCCTGTAGTGCAGGTACCATGTACGACTAGAATGCAAGTATCTGCCAAATTACATTGATCCAAAAGGTTAAAACCTGGCAGGGGGGTGGGGAATAGTATAAGTTAAAGGAATTGGGAAATTATATGGAAATCATAGTATGCATACAGAGAAAATAATGTGTTGGTCGGTTTGGTCAATATGCACGCATGTGTGCAGGTACAAGGTGGAGCTAAAACTCTGAAATCTCTCAAAATATGTAGATCGAAAAGGTTAGAACCTAGTGTTGTTGAAGTAGAAGGCCTAATCTAATGAACTACAAGGAATATGGTACTAACTGCATCTCTACACACATAAGTAATGCGTTGGTCTATTTGGTCGGCATGTGCGTCTGTAGTGCAGGTACCACGTACGATGGAATGCATGTATATGAGAAATTAGATAGATCCAAAATGTTAAAACCTGGTAGGGAGGTGGGGAATGGTACAAGTTAAAGGAATTTGAAAAGTATATGGTAATCAGTGTAGGCCTACAGAGAAAATAATGCGTTGGTCGGTTCGGTCAATATGCACGCTTGTGTGTAGGTATAAGGCGGAGCTGAAACTCTGGAATCTCTCAAAATATGTGGATTGGAAATGTTAGAACCTAGTGTTGTTGAAGTAGAAGGCCTAATCTAATCGACTAGCGAGAAAATGGTACTAACTGCATCTCTACAGACATAAGTAATGCGCTGGTCTGTTTGGTCGGTATGCGCTCTTGTAGTGCAGGTACCATGTACGCCTGGAATGCCTATATCTGGCAAATTACATAGATCCAAAAGGTTAAGACCTGGTAGGGGGGTGGGGAATAGTACAAGTTAAAGGAATTGGGAAAACATACGGTAATCAGTGTACGCCTACAAAGAAAATAATGCGTTGGTAGGCTCGGCCAGTATGTGTCAAATTATAATGTTGTCTAGGCTTTAGTGGGTAGCCCATATGGGGTACACATTTCTAGGGTTGCATATTTGTATCACTTTCATTCCATAGTCATTTCATTCTCGTTCTAATTTCCTCATGGTATCGAGCAGGTTCCCCCGTGGGAACTGTGCCTAGGGCCCACCACATCGAGTTTTTTTTTTTTCCTGCCCGAAGCGCGCTCAGCCCGAGTCGCGCTCCGGGCTCTCACTTCGTCGAACCGCCCTAGTGGCCCCAACGCCCTAGCGGCCCCGCAGCCCGTCGACTGGGGGTGCTGAGCCTGGGGGTGCTGAGCCTGGGGGTGCTGAGCCTGGGGGTGCTGAGCCTGGGGGTGCTACGACTGGGGGTGCTGAGCCTGGGGGTACTGCGACTGGGGGTGCTGAGCCCGGGGGTGCTACGACTGGGGGTGCTGAGCCTGGGGGTGCTGCGTCTGGAGCTACTGAGCATGGTGGTGCGGAGCCAGCGACCGCTGGACCTACCCGTGTGGCGTCCGGCGGTGCTGGGCCTGGAGGCTCTCCGGGTGCTTCGTCTCGGCGGGAGCCGCTCTCTCCACAGGAGCTTCGCGAGTGGTTTGCCCGGCGCTGGAGGCGTACTGCTGGAGCTGGTGCTTCTTCGCCTGCTGAGGGTTCTGGTGCAGCCGGTCTCGGAGGTGCTCGCCCTGGGAGTGCTGGAGCTGCTGGGCCTGCGAATGCGACTGGAGTCGGAGCTGCAGAGGGTGTTGGCGCTGGGGCTACTGCTGTCAGTCCTAGCGGCGGTCCTACTGCGGGTGCTGCTGGTGCTGCTGGAGGTACTGGAGCTGGAGGTGCTGTTGGCGCTGGTGCTGCCACTGGGGGTGCTGGTGCTGTCCCTGCTGTGTCTGGAGTCGCCGCGCAGCCTCGACCGTACTTTGTTCCGCTCCTTCAGCAGGTTCTTGGTCTTCCTCCTCCCTTAGAGTGTCCACCGCCTGTCCGGTCACAGTCACAGTTACCGCCGGCCTCCCCACTGCCTGCTCCTTCTCCCTACACTAGTCCCACTGGAGGTCTTGCTGAGCGTCGTGAGCTTGCGTCTCGTCCCGCGTCGCGTGTTCGTGCTGCTTGCGTTGGTGGTCGCGGTTCGCGTCAGCGTCCTCCTCCTGTCCCTGGCACGCACCAGATGTCACTGCGCCCGTCCATTGCTCCTCTGCGTGTCCCTTTGCCTTCTCCTCCTGAGTCCTCTCTTCCTGCTCTTGCCGACCCAGAGTCGGACTCTCTTCGTGCTGCCAGTCCTACCGTCACGCGTCTCCTTGCTACTTTCGTCACTGACCCCTCTTTTGAGTCCACTGCTGCGTCTGCTCTTGTTGACTTTGCTGCTCGCTGTCGTCTAGACTACGCTGCTAGTCTTGTTGCTGAGTCTGCGTCTGTCTGTCCTCCGTCCGTCGGGGGTGAGTGTGCTCTTGGCACGGACGTCCTTGAGGACAGGCAGGAGGAGTTCCAGTGTCAAGCTGCTGCTTCACCTCATCTCGTGTCCGTACTGCTTACCCCTCAGGGAGACCCGGATGCACTAGACATCCCGACTCCGCGCTCTTACGCGGAGGCGATAGAGGGTCCCTACTCCTCTCACTGGCAGGCAGCTATGGATGCAGAGATGGCTTCCTGGAAGTCCACAGGCACCTACGTTGACGCGCTTCCTCCTCCTGGGGCGAACATCGTCAGTGGCATGTGGATCTTCAGGGTGAAGCGGCCGCCGGGCTCTCCACCTGTCTTCAAGGCGCGGTACGTGGCTCGTGGCTTCAGTCAGCGGCAGGGAGTTGACTACTTTCAGACCTTCTCTCCCACCCCGAAGATGACCACTCTTCGGGTGCTGCTACACATAGCCGCTCAGCGTGACTACGAGCTTCACTCCCTTGACTTCAGCACTGCTTTCCTGCCGGGTAGCCTACACGAGGAGATCTGGCTGCGCCGTCCACCTGGCTTCACTGGGACTTTCCCTCCTGGCACCCAGTGGAGCCTCCGACGGCCAGTCTACGGTCTCCGCCAGGCACCGCGTGAGTGGCACGACACACTGAGGACTACGCTTATGGCTCTTGGGTTTGCTCCCTCTACTGCTGACCCGTCGTTGTTTATGCGCAATGACACCTCTTTGCCGCTGTTCTACATCCTCGTGTACGTCGACGACTTGGTCTTTGCCACAGCTGACACTGCTGGACTCGCCTACGTGAAGTCCGAGCTGCAGAAGAGACACACGTGCACAGACCTGGGTGAACTGCGCAGCTACCTTGGCTTGCTGATCACCCGGGACAGAGCACGCCGCACCATTACCCTGACTCAGTCACACATGGTGCAGCAGGTCCTTCAGCGCTTCGGCTTCACGTACTCCTCGCCTCAGGCCACTCCTCTGCCTACTCGCCACTCGCTCTCAGCTCTGCCTTCGGATGAGTCCGTAGAGTCAAGTGGCCCGTTTGCAGAGCTTGTTGGCTGCCTCATGTACCTGATGACCTGCACACGACCTGACCTTGCATACCCTCTTAGCATTCTTGCACGCTATGTTGCTGCTGGGAGACACAGACCAGAGCACATGGCTGCAGCAAAGAGGGTGTTGCGCTACTTGTGCAGTACGTCGGGCATGAGGCTA